TGCGATCTGTGTGGCGCATATCTATTTGGTGCCTCCTTGTACCAATGTTTATGTGTTTAAATAAATAAATAAAATAAAATGGATTACTTGTTTCTAAATGGAGCTAGTTCAGAAAATATTTGAAATGTCTTAGTTGAAAAATTATATTTGTAGTGTATAAAGTGCATTAGTTTTCAATTGTTTCCCCTAAATATTCATTGATTTTCATCAAGTAAGTTTATAGAGCTTTAAGAAAGAAAGTTATTCACATACCTATATATATATATATATATAAGCATAAGTTAAAATTAGACACAAAGCGTTCACTGTTCACCGTACAATACCTTCCATCCGAAGATAAAATATAAACGCAGATCGTACAGTCTGATGCAAGTGGATTTGAATAACACATCCTATGAATTTCTTTAAAACGAAAAAGTGTTGACAGATTGGATTCCTAACTATTGCATGCTTTCCTATTTTCCTATATCTCTTTGTTCATGTTATCGGTATGTACCTTGTTCTCTCTCGATTATTGTTCTGATTTGTAAAGAGTCGAGTGAATTATCGTGGTCAGGGAATACTAACTTGTAGAATAACATAAAAACTATGAACCAATGAGTTGGTGGAGTACTTACGTTCATATTTCTATACTCAATCACTTAGTAATATTTTACCAGCCATCATGCACTATCATCGGTGCTAACTGTTTCATTCTCGATATGTTTGAGCCGCATCAGTTACGACTTACCACTTACTCAATTTCCTGTAATTCCTCATTTAAACTGTCCTCCTATCAAACTAGTCTTCACAATATCTGCTAAACTAAATCATTGGTTGTTATTCTTTCCTGGTGAAAGATATAACCATATGTCAAGAGATTTTACTGTTCATCATATAATTTAAAATGGATCATGCTAGTCGTAATACAAGTGATTTGAACATTAACTAGTTGTAACCTAGATTAAATCTCTATTCAAATTATAGATACAGATTTATTGGGTTTAAATTTAAAACAACCTGCGGCTATCTAAATATATATAAGATTTCAACCTGACAACATAAATCATAATTATTCATAAGATAGTTGAGATCCAATCCCTACAATGAATTACATAACCCAAAGATTTCAATCATCTCATTGCGTACAAGTGAAACAAACATGTGCTGTCTGGTCACATGATTGTTGTATTTTTTTAGGGTCATTGGGATTAGTGAATTTAGGACCAAAAAAAACTTCAGAGTTTTTATTACTAGTGTTATTTCTTTAAGAAATAATCCACTTTTTCTTTTGTTTCTGATAAAATTCTATAATTATTAGCTTTGGTTACCTGACCAAAAAATAAGATTATATACAACTGCTTTACAAGATTGTACGTCACCTACAATTGATGTAAATGAGGGTTCATTAAGAAAGGATGAACAAAACACTGTACATTCTGTGAAAATTGAACCGATTGCTTGTCGTCGTGTATTTTATCAACAACTTTTACCGAATAATAATTGTTCATTGTAAGTTGTCTTTTTCTTTGAAATTTCTTTTACTATTATTAAAATTAAGTCGATGTTTTATGGTCTTTATGTTACATTTCGGTAACATCCATTACATTAATTGAAGTAGAAAAATAATCAGTGATATGTATCTGGTGAATAAACACAAACTAATCATTCCAAGAAAACAAACTTTCCACTTTATTCGACTTTCTGTTCAGTTATATTGAAGAAGCAATATAATGTTATGTGGTTGAAGGTATTCTCCAGGAAATTCTGGGTCTAAGTTTTGTCCTTGTTTCCACTCACCATTAAGGCGAACGTGCAATATTCAGGGAAGCGGTGCTGCCACATCACACAGCCCCACAATTTAAAATGTTACTACTGAACTATTTGGATCTTGAATGACTTTCTGTAGGACTGAAATATTCACACTGACTGGTCATTGAGTGATGACCGATGTCATGTTTGTCTAGTCCTTAGCGTTAATCGAATTCTATTCGATCGAGTTGACACACAAACATACCTTACAGGTACCAACTAGCATGGAATTTAGATCCTTGGTTTTCTGTTGAGTACTTCAAATCACATGACATCAAAAAATAGTGCAACTTGTTGATCGATATAATTCAGTCGGCACCAAAAAGCCAGTCAAACATAAGATTGGTCACTACTTAGTTATTGATCAATGCAATGTTGTTACACAAATGTTGGAATACTACTTTTTGCTCGATAAGTATAAAATATAGTAAAGTAGTATTATTCTGTTATGGATTAAAATTAATGGGGAAAAAGCTAGACAGGCAGTGTATGACCAGAGAATGTTGAAGGGTTTTGGGGGATTGATAAACATAAGGGAGGCTCCCATCAACGCCTGATATCAACTTCGAAAAACCATTGGAAATCGAAAGTTATTTAGTCCTCTCAACTGGGGATCTTCAAATATCCCCTACTTAACAAGTCACCGTTTGTTAATATTACCAGTTGTCAACAATTTTCAATGAGTTTTGTCTATCTGGTATTTTGCCGGTTGGTTTAAGCAACTAATATGCGGCAAGGATGAGGAGGACTGATACTCTATGCTTGACGTTTGCTTCAATAATAACTAGCCCCGAACGAAGAGAAAGGACAGAAGACCAATAATCTCCAATCCAAGATCATTATTATACTTCAGACATCAACTTATATGTATACAAGACCAGATCACGCAGCAAACTAATCGAGTAAAAGTATTAACACTGGGCAGCAACATTAATGAAAAAAAACCTGAGTACTGATTACACAAATAATCAGTTCTAGTCTGAGAGGAAAATGCTATAGCAACAATTTACCGTTCAAATAAAAAGCTTAGAACTAGGGTAGTATGCAAATATTAAGACCATACTACTCAATAAACATGGAATTAATACATATAAATAAAACCCTAGAAAAATAGCTCCCAAATTTTTCACCTCATAGTTAAATTGTCTTTTACAACAGTTAACGTTTCATGACATTGAATAAATAGGTTGAGGATCATCGGAGCTGTAGTTGTTTTCAGTCACTAGATAGTATCTAATTTTTTGGTAGATAATAATCATTTATCGTCGTTGACAATGTGCTGATACTACTCAGTGATTTCATGAGTTTACAATGACGTTGTTTAAATGCCTTAAACATATTATATTCAGTTATTGAATCAGGTCTTGTCAAAATCTTATCATCTGTTTACAAAGCTGCGACTTCAAATTGGAAAATGAATTTGGTTAGTGCATCAACTAAGAAATTAATCGGATTTAAGTTCTTAGACATGAGTATGAAGCGGTAGCGTGGTGATCAAAGTACTTAACCTTTACAATCACTGGGTTTAAGATCCGAACCGTGGTAAACCTATTTCCGTTTGGGGTACTGAGTAGTTTTTCAATGACCTGTCACACTGTCTCAAGACTGAATACACAAAACACGCATTTGGCAAATTACTCACATATTTTGTGAACTTACACTATTTCGTCCACATTCCTAGATAACTGTTTCTTCCGAATTCATTTTTGTATTGGTTGTTTGAACATCTATGGAATACAGGTACATTCAGCTGACGAGTCCCAAGTAGGACGAAACTCGCATCCTGGATTCCGCTGCTAGTCACCATCCACCTCTGCTTATTTCTTATGAAGTTTTCGCTAAGTAGATGTAGTGTTTCTTAACTGTAAAGTGATTTTTCACACTGAGACCGTAAATGCTGACAAGTGAATTTCCATTTATTATTCTGATGTAGGACCTCCAATATCTGGAGGATTGTAAATCGCTATGAATCGTATAATATAAACTGTCATTAATAGTGAGGATTCTTTGGCATGGCGGGTTTTCCCAATTAGTTCGAAAGTATACAGACACTAAATGATTGTCTCATTTAAGGGGTTAGCTCGTTGGGGACTTCTACTCTTTTTTATACAACTACAATTTTAGCAGTTATATTTACTTAGCCTACGGGTTTTCTTCAAACTATCAATTCAATTTACTTTTGTCATAAAGACAACTTTTTATTCTTCAATTACAGGAATACAGCACAGTTGGTTGATTCATGGAGGAAAGATTTCGGAGTCACATTAATACATATCCCGTGGGAAACGTGCATTGGATTCTCAGCATGCCTAAGCCAGTTTTCTTCAAGAATAGCACCACACACACGGAGATTAGATGGACCGATGATGGGATTCATTGTAAGTTTTCATATTAAGTGTGATCGGTCGCCTCATGTTTTATCGATTTGGGCGTTTGTTTAGTGTGTAATGTAGTTTGGGATAAGTCGATGAAGTCAAACAACGGCTTCACGTTAATGTCTACATTCATTGAAATGTAATTTGAGAATATTAAGAAAAGTTTAAGTTGTTCCGTATCGAGTAAATCTCAATAGTGATCATGTTTCTACGCTTTTGCTATGAGGAACATGTGTGAGACTTCTCAGTTTGTAATATATATATGTAAACTTTAAGTCAGTTTTTCTTGAGACAAATGCGAAAAGTGATGCACCCAGCACAAAACAAATCAAGGGAATATTCTTTTTCTATTAAATAAATTATCATTAATGTTCGCCCCATTTTTTCTAATTTTTAGTCGGGTGCCGTTCCACTGATCCACTTACCTAACGATTTGGCGTAATGTTATACTCGAAACATGATAATTCTATTTGAGTGATAAACTGTCAACGTGATTTTCTGCTGATGAGATATGAAGAAGGAAACTTACATGCTTTGTTATTTCTTGTGAGAGAGAGAGAGAGACAAACGGAATGTATTTTGTATACTTTAGTTTCAAACGTATTGTCAATTACCCTTACATGTTTTTGTACTATACACTTTCTAAGAATGGTCATATTTTTCTGGGGACCAAATAACTTAACCGTCATCTAAGGCTTTTACAGTTTGTCCATCTAAACAATATTGATAACAGGATGTAAGAACTGGATGCTTTGCCATGCCCATCGTAATGGAAGCTAATCAACAAACTATGCACAACCAAGCTGATATAACCAGCTGAATAAAATAACTAATTTGTAAGCATATCCGTTTACTTGTTAAGTAAGAGTAACAGACACTTCATTTGAAGTTTGTCAAGTTTGGCTTGTCGAGCCATAAAAAAATGTATTTGGAAAATATAAAATAGTTTGCCAGGCACTCAAGCTTTCTGTCCGACTAAACTAGAGACTGATCGATTTTATTGTTTAATATATTTCTTCAGCTTTTCGAAGTTTCACCTAAGGTAGGCCAAGATTCGGAATTGATATCGAAGCGTTTAGGATTTGTTGTGTTCGGAGGACTTCGCGAGAAATGGGCAACACGATCTGGACCAACAACATTGAGTGCACCAGAGCGAGAAATCTAAATACGTAAAGTATATTTTGTAGAAAATAGAACTTTTAGTAGAAGAAATGCACCCAAAAACTGTTCACTTAAACGATAATAAGGCCTAGCTGATAAATTTTACTGAAGTTCAGTTCTTGCTCCACCTTTTACCGTTTGAGCAGCTGAGTACTATCACTAGTACTCACAAGTACAGTGATTAAGATGTGACCATACATACATATATTCAGTAAATAAGTTCCGCTGTGACTAACCTCAACTCTATCACACACAAGAAATACACTAAAGACATACATGATTGGAATGCTAATTGTTATGAAAATCCTCTACTATTTGGAGCTGCATTAAATCAGTGTTGTAGCATCAGGCAGAATGATGTGCTGTATACCCGCTAATGACTAGTAGCTAAATATCTTCCTGAAGCAGATTATGAGTGCGAAACGAGACCCAACCTAGAAGAGATTGTTTCTATACACCGAGAATTAATGCGTTAGAAACTGGCCGGCAATAAAATCTGTCACTTTCTCTTAATACTTGTTTAGAACCCACCAACCTCTGTATTAAATCGTTCTTGTCTACTACATTTTTACATACACGAACATGGATGGGAAATAGTACTTACTTCAGCAAAACTGATTGGTAAAGTTTTTTTCCATTTTATATTTTGCGTCGTAGTTGAGAGTGGGACAAAATTTGAGGGGTCAAGTTGTACTTCTATGAAACAAAACTTTAGAGCAATAGATAACCTACCTTGCTTAGCTGATAAAGTTGCATGACCGCTGAGAACAAAACCTGGAGCTGAAAGTTACGTAGAAAATACGTTAGTACAATACACTAAAACAATGCAATTGCGGTACAAAATATGACTATGGAAAAACGATGGAATATCATTTTTCTATGCATGCATTTAAAGGCTGTTATTCTGTGGGACTTAATCGACTACTCTAACCATAGGTAACGACTAGCTTTCAGACACCAATCAATAAGCCTCTACCGTCCAGCACTGCTTTGACCAGCGACAAGGGTTTTGATGGATTGATACCCATGGGTCTAGGTACCTTTCAAGCGTGTTACCCTGCATAGTGCGTCGTATCATATGGTATCTGTACACGCGTATCATATGCTCCAAGTACCCACATCGACAGCAGTTCGCTGCTCACTTGTGTTTACGATACACGAAGAGGACCACCGAATACTTGGATTTTGCACATTCTGTGTTTAAAGACTACACCTTATCGACCCAACGGCAATCCACAAGTGTTGTCTGCAAACCAACTTTGGTCATAAGAACGATAGACTGTATAATTATTTACTTTATGGCCGTCACATTTCTTTGCATAATACACGGATGACTGACGGAACATCAGTCGAATTGAACAGAGGAATTCCTGGTATGACTCTATTTATAACCGAAAATAATGGGAGGTTAACCAAAGTTAAAACGAATCTGAGCCCATCCATTTCTCAGACAGCTTGATATTATTGATTACTTGCAAACTGAGTTTCTCAAAGCTCAGTAGATAGAAATATTCTCAACAAATCAGTCACAATGATGGTTCATCTTAATGAACCAAATAAACACGTTGCAGATATTTGTTATCCATAGGTCCCTTTAAGATAAATTTATCCCACTTGCTAATTTGGAAAGTGTTATATTGAAGTATGGTCCATCTTCGTCAAAGTCAGTCGTGATTTAATTTGGGAAACAAAGGACTTACTTGCCTCAGGAGAGGCTATTGGTCTTATGAATGATTCGCTTTTTTGATCTTACAGCACGTTAGCAGTTTGAAGACTAGTAACAGAGTGCTTATAGTATTTATGTCTAGGGCACTTGTATGAATCACATCTCGCAATCGGGTGGCAAGATAAAAAAACTCACCGGAAATTCATTTAGGGAAAAACTAAGAGGTATTACGCTTAAGATGGAATTCCTTACGATAACCACTATTGATTCTGAGATTTTACCTAACATTCCTACAAACCATAATTGCTAACGTTTTATGGGTCAGGTCAGGGGGGGCAATGTTGAGGGTCTTAGTCAAAGTGGGGAGTGGGTTGATGAAGTTATAGATCTTCATTGACTGAAGCGGTCAGGACATTTATTGCGTATACCTAAATTAAGGAAAGGAATACGGTGATAATGTTCAACAAATTATCATTCATAATAAGTGTCGTAACATTTTTAATGTGCAAAACTTGACCAGAGCTACCTAATAACAAGTCGTCTTGCAGTCTCGTTTAGGCGTATTTATTTGATGTTCTACAAACCACAAACAACGAGTAACCAAACAGCTTTCGACGTCCAACTAAAACTCAATCTTATACATAGCTAACGTATCCAGTCATTATTTTTTTCAGATAGTGGCCAACACCAGTTCAGCCTCAAAATAATTCACCTGAGCTGCACGTCTTTATTTAATTTTGGTGAAATGGTGTTATCACTATACAAATATGGGAAAAGGGGTTTATCCAGTTATATCGCATTAAAGCAAACCATAGAAAAGTCTTTATAATATGAACAAATTTGGTAAATATCGTAATGAGTAAGTCATGAAAAATGATTGGTCACGAGCTGAACTAACGATTAGATATTAAGAGCAAAAGCTTGGATACGAACGTATCACTGCCTTACCACTTCCCTTAAATATATAAATAACATGCACCTATCTATAAAAGAAAAACCAACCCATTAACAGTTATCTTACGCAGTGACGTAAATTGGTTTTCAGCTGCCTCTTTTAATTCAGTAAGTTTCAGATCTTCGAGACGACTTCGATCTCGCTCCAATGCGCGGTTATTCAACGATGTGGCAAAGTGAGATAGTGTCAATTCAGATACCAACGGTGGTTCTAGCTTGATTTCCACTATACTGAAGGCGTATCCATCAGGTAAATGGCTCAGGTACCTCAGAGGTTTTCGTAAAGACTTGAAAGAAAAAACATGTCGGTAGGAAGACATCCTTAATAGTAATTATTATTGAAAAGACAAAAACAGGTCCGTGATTATCAAACCTTATTTAACCACTAAGTATAGATGCTCCAAAGTAACCACGAATATAGTCAATGCCTTCTAGCAGTGGAGGTGTTGTAAACGAAACTGAGAGGAACAAAAGCGAATATCCGGTTCTTTAACCGGATTGGTGGATACGCATGACTTGTCTAATAGTAGAGTTGAAGAACTGACTCCAAATCAATGTTGTATGAACTTACTTTCGATCACCGGTTGCCATGGGACCGCATCTGACGATGCCCAACTGCCTTGTAGATTAGATTATCGTTGTTATTTAGATACAAATATTGGTACAAGTAGGCGCCGGATATATATATATATATATATATATATATATATATATTTATATGGGTGACACTTCGATTTGTGTGACGGTTGTGATGCTGCCAAAGCGCGCAAACTGAAGCAGGTGGTTTTCACAGCGGGCCACACCCCGATCCCTTGACCATGAGGTCTAATCTACAAAGTATAGGAACGGCGTCAGGAGATGCAGTCGCATGGTATCCGGTGATCAACAATAGCTTTACAAGCCATTTGTTCTCCCAGAGCCCATATAAAACAATCGTTTGGAATAAGGGTTTTCCAACCCCCCTAGGTGGGTTCGCCGTGCCACCAACCCGGCTAAAGAACCGGACGCTAGCTTTTGGTCTTCTCAATTTCCTAAACAACAACCCCGCCGCGAAAAGGCAGTGGTTATATGTTCGTGACCATTTCAAGTGGAAGAGTGGAATCTTCCCCTAGTCCGTATAAATGAGGGTACTCAGAACCCATAGTTTTTAGAAAATTAAATTTCTGTTTATAATATTCATGTGTAGCGATTTTTCTAGGTTTGAATTTACTCTTCCCTCCCGTTTGCTAATGCTTCCAAATGAAACATGGACTACCTAAAATTCACAAATCAAACATTCCTTTACGTCCAGTTTTATCAATGTGCCGATCACCTACACATAACTTAGCTAAATGGCTAACATAATTGCTGGATCCTATCCGAAGATGTTTATGTGAGTATTCTCTGAAGGATTCTTTTGAATTGGTCGATCATTTAGGTGATATTAATATTAAGGAAAAGATAATGTGTTCATTTGACGTGAATTCCTTGTTCACAAATGTACCTTTAAAAAAGACTATCGACATATTATGTGACTACGTATCTTTAAACAACCTTAAATTACATGTTCATTTAAAAATTCTTAAAGATTTACTACTATTATTTACTGACAAATTTCAATCCACTTTCGAATGTGAATACTTTCGCCAGATTGATGAGGTTGCTACGGGTAATCTGTTAGGACCTTTATTTACAGATGGGTTCATGGCACATGTTGAAACTCTAGCTGAAGACCTAATCGAAAACATGTCACATTATAAGAAATGTCTGGACAATATTTAGTTGTCTGTGAAAGAAAGGAGGATATGAGCTGTTTATTGAATAAACTTAACGCTCTCCAAAATCAGTCTCTCATGCGAAAAGGAGAAGAACGACCAGCTTCCCTTTCTAGATATACTTATAAGTAGGCGAGTTGGTTAAATCAAACGATCCACTTTTAGAAAACCAACGTGGACAGGTCAATACCTCAGTTATCATAGTTATTGCACCGCGCAAAACAAACGCTGTTTGATAAAGTGTCTTTTTAACAGATTTGATCGTATTTGCACAAATGCCATTAATGATAATGTTAGGTTGCTAAATAAAACACTAATGGAAAACGGTTATCCCCTTAAATTCATAAATAGATGGAAAGTCCATGGTATAGTGAGACCTACTACAGCCTTGGTGGAGGAGGCCCATCTACATCACCTTACCATTTAGAGGTGATTGAAATAGCCTTTTATTGAAACAAAGGCTTAAATCAGTCATCAATAAAACGTATTGCGCAGCAAAAGTCATTATCAAAGAAAGAACCAGGTGCATGCTTCATCGCAAAACCTAAAGGACAAGAAAACAATTACGTTACATCCTACTATGTTTACCAATTTAGATGTGTGGTCACATATACATAGGGAGGAGTGATCGTAATCTCAAAATTAGGGTGTGAACATGTGCCTAAATGGTTGCAGAAACAAATCGAATCGAATGGCCCAATACGACTAGAGGATAAACATCCATCATTCTCCATTGCCAAACACATAATTGGAAGAGGTTATAAGATTGATCTTAGATTTTGTGGTGTACAAAAATGTGAAAGGGTGTATACTAAGGTTTATTGAAGCCTTAGACATACAAAAATTCAAACTCCCCCTGTGTATTCAAAAACAGTTTGTTCTCACCTTAAACCTACCCTGGTAATATTAGCTTATTATCCAGATTGATGAGGTTGCAAATCGTTTTCATATTATTTCTTTATTATCTTTGTCTCCTCTTACCCTATATTTCTAGTCTAGTTGACCTTCCATTTTTTATATATAAATGTTCTTAACAAGCATGTGTGATCAGATTGTTCGAAAGATATTGCGCTAATATATCACATAGTTCTCATAATCTTCGTCTTTTTATTACACTATAGAAATTTATTAGAGACTAATTGCTTTAAATAAAAACTATGTATAAATATTCACTCAGGAATAGATATCACCCGAAGAACGTAAGTGAACTATATTTTTCCACTCAATCATCTACTGTTTCTGGAACAATGTAGTGAGCTAAGCACGCTAATATAACAATACTCGTGAAATTAGAAATCGGGAACTTATCGAAAAACCAGTTTTTACTGAGCATTTCGAATAGCCAGAAACTGGAGTTCCATTTCTGCCCTGTTGCTTAAAAGAAATGATATGTTTAAATGAATCCGTAATAAGTCTGTTTTTAAGACTAGTGTTATATTTTATACCAATTAAGTGCCGTAATTTAATTAAAAAATACCTGTGACTTACGGAGTTCATCCGATAATTTTTAGTTGATACAACGGTTGCGACAATCTCCTTTGGAAGATTTTGTGTTTCTTTGTACTCCGTTAGTAGACATCGCCACCCTAGGCTATCTAAGAAAATGGGTTGACTATCCATAGCTAAACAGAATTTCAGCAAAGATTGCAATTACCTTGGTAGAAATATGTTTCATTTGTAGAAACACCATTAATATCTTGACTGCAAGATTTGCAAGGCTTAGATGAACTGGTACTGCAAGATTTTAGAAGCATATCTTCGCGATTCAGCTCTTCGAAGGCAAAGTCAATGAATGGAATCAGCTCTGTGTTGTTTCCATCTACCTCACAAATAGCTCTATACGTACGAAGTTGATCGATCTCTGACTCGTGAATATTTTTCAGTGTTATTTGATCGGTGACGCAAACACATCCGAAAAGGTATTCAGCAGTAGCTTCACATGTTTGGAGAGATGAAAGAGGAGTTATACAAAGTCCTGAACGCTTGACTAGCGTCAAGCATATGCTATCGCCGACCTTCGTTGGAGTAATATGGGTTAGGGATACCCTATATTATTCGTAAAACAAAACAAAGTATTACCTCCTGAGCCCATTGAATGATAACAAGGAGGGACAGACAGAGCACTTTTTGCTATCCGATTCATTTTCGTATTTTAAATATTGTAATGCACAGGGCCAACAGTAAACGTGTCCACATTTGCCCATTCGCGGCGTGATAGGCGAATAGAGACATATGGGACACACTAGATCACCTTTGCTCAGGACTTTTACAAACGAGACCTGCTCCCATTGTGGAGGGGTCCCGTCATAATTGGTTTTCAAGTATGCAGAATCAGGAATTAGGACAAATTGGCTTCTAATAATGCAGTCAGTTTTAAATAGACAACTTACGAGACTTGCACATAGCCATCTAAATGGGCTTCAAGTGACTTTTCACCTTCTAGACATCTAATGTGTGCACAATTGGGCTTTGTCTTGTAGCTAGTCACTAAATCGACATGCCGTTTGGAACTTTGTTTTGACTGTCGGTTTCTGGCCTGGGAGCTGCTTGTGTAGGACTTCCGGCTCGATAAAGATACCGGCAGGTTGGTGTACATTCTGCCATCTGCAAAGTTATTATGGTTTATATGGTAGCTAACCTCTTCTTTCGGAGTTGCTGGGGCGCTGAGCGTTCATAGGAAAGCGCACTAGTGACTTTTCCATCGGTGGAAAGGGTTTTTCTCTCGAAGATAATTGCAGATTGGCTTGAGTACATAGGACACATATTTAGAACTCCATTATATCAAAATATACAAAAATGAGAACAGTTTGAAGTGTGCCACTACAAGTCCCAATATGTAAGATGAAGAGAACCTGGAAAGCTTCCGCGAGATACAACGACAGCGCCTAAGCAGGACGATAGATTAAAACACTTGACATTCTTGCACATCTACTGTTTTTGTGGTGATGAAGTACGGATTATTATCCCTTTGTTCATGCAGTCAAGGAATAATTTCTGGTCCTTGAAAACACTTAATAGAGTTACCTTTTCCATTCACATGAAAAAGCTTCAGTAGTAGGTAATGTTATGTTTCTTTTTCATTTTTCGGATTTTTTTATCATTCTTCAAGGGGCAAAGGAATTCATGTTTTCGCTAACTCTGCCTCAGTTTCTTTCGTCGAGCAAGAATGACATGATTGGAAGAGTAAGGCAGAGGGACTAAAGAGTGATAAAATTCTTCAGCTAATTAAACTATGTGCTATAACTCGTCACTATACATCAACTTCATTGATTATGAAAAGGCGTTTGACAGTGTAGATAGGAGGACATTATGGAAACTTCTTCGACACTACGGAGTTCCTGAGAAGATTGTCAATATTATCCGGAACTCATACGACGGACTACAGTGCAAGGTCGTTCATGGAGGACAGCTGACAGATGCATTCCAAGTAAGGACCGGAGTCAGACAAGGCTGTTTACTCTCTCCCTTTCTCTTTCTTCTGGTGGTCGACTGGATTATGAAGACCTCGACATCTGAAGGAAAACACGGAATACAATGGACAGCTCAGAACCAATTAGACGATCTGGACTTCGCAGATGACCTAGCTCTTATATCACGTACACACGAACAGATGCAGATAAAGACAGCCAGTGTAGCAGCAGTCTCTGCATCAGTAGGCCTCAGTATACACAAAGGGAAAACGAAGGTCCTCAAATTCAGAGCGGAAAACAGCAATCCAATCACTCTTGATGGCGAAACTCTGGAAGATGTAGAATCCTTCACATACCTGGGAAGCATCGTCGATGGACAAGGAGGTTCAGATGCAGACGTAAAGGCGAGGATTGGCAAAGCAAGGGCCGCATTCCTACAATTGAAGAACATATGGAATTCAAAACAACTTTCAACCAATATCAAAGTGAAAATCTTCAATACGAACGTCAAGGCAGTTCTACTGTATGGAGCTGAAACTTGGAGAACAACAACAACCACAATCAAGAAAGTACAAGTATTTATAAATAGCTGTCTACGCAAGATACTCAACATCCATTGGCCGGATACCATCAGCAATAGCCTTCTGTGGGAGAGAACAAACCAACTTCCAGCTGAAGAGGAAATTAGGAAAAGACGATGGAAATGGATAGGACATACATTACGCAAATCGTCAAACTGTATCACGAGACAAGCCCTAACTTGGAATCCTGAAGGGAAGCGGAAAAGAGGAAGGCCAAAGAACACATTACGTCGGATAATAGAATCCGATATGAAAAGGATGAATTACAACTGGAAGGAGCTGGAAAGGATTGCCCAGGACAGGGTTGGATGGAGAATGCTGGTGAGCGGCCTATGCTCCTTCACGAGGAGTAACAGGCGTAAGTAAGTAAGTAAGTATAACTAAATAGCAATGAAAACATATACATAAGTCAGGATGAGTAAAGTAAATTATGAACCGCGATTTATTCGGAATAAATGCATTTCTCCTCATTCAGTAAGCTTTCGTTATAAAAGAGAAGTTTGCGGATTTTTAGGTTGTCACATAAATGTCCCAACAAACAGTCTATGAACGAGACGGGATAGGAACTCGTTTTATGCAGAACAAGTCCGTAGTGCTAGAGAGTAGCATCCTGAAGCAGTCACAAATAATGCGCTTACAGGAACAATCCAGTTATATGATTTCCAAACCCCATTATGACTCTCTGGGAGTATGATACTATGAGACTGTGTGAGTTACCCGAAACAAAATCCACGGCCCCTATATACGACTCTCTCCTGTTCCAGTACAATAGCGGTTTATGGGTCCGATACGTTTCTAGTGAAAGTGAAGAGCAAACGGCCACTGATCATATATACATAGACATCTGGTTTACTGACTATTAAATACGTGGATTTATTTCCATTGATAATTTCTGCGCTGGTTTATCTGGATGTAAACTTCCTGTGATCATATTGAAGTAAATATTGTCTGGGCTATGACTGAGCTCTCTGTATTTGACCGTAAACCGTGTGTCTGGTGTGACGTGATGCTGCTTGTGCATTGCATATCGAATGAGTACCTATTATAGTGGTGATACGTCGTCGGCCACCGGTTGTATAAACATATAAAAGTATTATACGGTGATAAACAAAAGATACGTCTACTCTGCAGTGATTTTGGAGCTAAAACAAAACTGTTTGTCGGGGAAACATGGAAATAGCATGTGCCAATGGTTGACCATTTCAAATTAAAAATTAACTAAGGTAATGTCCAGAAATACAGGTTTCTCAGTTTGTCATTTTACATTATTCTCCTCTCTATAACGAAGTGAAAATTATCAATGATGAATTTGCATAGAGTGATATTTAACATCTTGATACAATCAAGAAATATAGAGTGGATTGGCGCTTTTTGGTTCTAGCAGACTAGCCAATCGTCTCAAGCTAATAAGCGATTGGGTCTTATTAGCTACCTCTTTTTAAACTATTTTATGGCTCCTGAGAAATTTTACTTTTTCCAGTGTGATTCTCTACTAGGTCACTGACCAGATCTCTCCAACAGAAAATTAATAAAGTAAGGCTATATTTTCATATCTAATTCAATAACTATGGTGATTTCAATTAATGACTAAATTTATCAATTATTGACGGTTGGGTGGCAGCGGAATACTCCTTTACTATAATCAGACTAAGATGTGTGGAAAAATACCTTTGATTTCTTGTCGTTCATCATTTAGCAGATTTCGCAAAACATTGCAGGGGAGTAATTGCAGTTACTTAAATAACTCGAGCAAGTGACTTTCCTTTCTGAGTTGGTTATTCGAGAGCAGGCGACCAGTTATCAATAATTTTCTAACGCCTCCCAATCCAGCGTTGTTCTTTGTGTGCTCAAATGTCTATGCATTTTTGACGACTGCTCCAGCCATTTGTTTAAATACACTGTTGCAAGCCATTTTTGTTATTCTGAAGATCTAGCTACGAGGTGGTAAAGCTCTGTGTATTGATACATGGTCATACCGCAGCTGTGAGGTGCCAATATCATACAGGGAGGTTGTGCTCTTTGAAGTCCTATCCCGTCTCTGTTGTTGATCTTTGTTGGATGGTCTTATCACGGAAGATATTCGTCTTTTAGTATAAGCTGATCTGCAGCCTCTCCAGTATTCTGAAGAGTGTAGTAGGAGATTAAACATTGTAAACGGAGTTGATAACCTTGTCGAATCTATTTTACACAACCATCATCGAACTCATGTCACACTAACGAGGGGGCTTTAGCGCCCTTATACAGGAGAATGACAAATAAGTTGGTCCATTGTTGCCGCTGACCTTGTCTTTGTGTTTCAAAGTTAGCTTGTTAATGCTTCAAAGTTTCACCGTGGCTGAATGAGAAGACAGTGCCAAAGCTATTCGATTAAGAATATTAGTTTTTTGTCTGCTGTCTGACCATAAGATGATTAAGCTATTGGTACTGTAGATGAAATACAAACTCTACTCACATAGTATATGCTCTTTTGATTGATTCCATTAATGATGATATAGATTTTAAAAATCGAATAGAAGCGTTTGGGATATTTGTATTCCCTACATTTATATCGGCATACTGACGAAGAAGTAAGAACTGAAAAAAACAGACGCGCTACTCAATTTATTTGGAACATTATTTGCGGGCGTGATAGACAGAACACATATACTACTGTAAGATTACTCCCTAAGCCACTATTAGGTGGGTTTAACTTTGTCACAAGGATAATGTAACAAATTGCTAAACTGGACTTATTATGATACGACTACCTAATCTATCAGACCGTATATGATAGTGGCATCATTATTTATGCCCACTCGCCTTATCGTGACAGTCATTACTGCTAAGGTCTTACAAAACATACATTTGGGCTGGAAAGGGAATAATATACTTGACACGAGAAACAAGAGGGTATATGGACTACTTATCCCTGCATGGCCAAGCCATATCAGACCGATCAGGTGTTTCCCCGTCCACCATTTCTGGTCTTGTCTAGGTGTTAAATGTTGAACGTAAGTCTTTTCACTTATCGTATGTTCGCCTTCGATGATCATGAGGTTGAGAACCATTAACACGACGCGATCATATAGACATTTCAAGGACACATTTGTCAATGACAAAATGAGTGGAAGGGCCAAGATCTATCATCCATCTGAATGACGAAATCGCGTCAGCGTATTAAAAAATCAGAAACCGGTACATGTATTGTCGGTTACTCTGCTATTAAACTCGACTGCAGAGTTCATTTTGCCGGTGGCACGTGCTATATTCTGACGGTATTCAGTGAATTTTCGTCAACGGTTTGATACTGTTATTGAGGAACAAGACATTACAATCATCGAAAGTATGCTGTGCCGAATTAGCCTCATCAAGACTCGACATGTCCCAATCCACATTATAAGCTATCATCCTATCCATAAGTTCAGATGTGACAGCTGTCGTTTAAGCCAGAGTTCATAGACTGTTTTCATGTTTGGATTCATTCGCCTTGTTAGATAACAACTGTGATCTGATAGCGACTGAATGTACCACGGCTGAATGAACCAGGTGCACAAAGAGTTGCGCCGATGCTATCCAAAATAGCACAACAAGCACTTATAGGATGGGAATCTCATGGACCAAGGATCTTCAAATCAGAATACGAAGGAATCACTATGAATGTTATCCAGTGTTGTGCACCCACCAATGATAGCAATGACGATGATAAAGATCAGTTTTACGAGAGGCTGCAATCGATTATAGCGAAGTGTCCAGGAAAGGACCTAAATATTCTAATGGGAGACCTAAACGCCAAAGTGGAAACGGACAATGCTGGATATGAAGATATCATGGGACAACATGGACTAAGAGAAGGGAACGAGAATGTTGACAGATTTGCAAATGTATATGCCTTCAATAAACTGGTCATAGGCGACACTGTATT